ACGTCACTGTTGTTTTCTTGCTTGAGCCCCGCCTCCTGAGCCCCGGCACCGCCACAGCAGTTTGTTCCTGAGGGAACCAGTCCTAGTCAGTGGGGAAGGGGCTGAGTGTGGGTGAGAATGTGGGGTAGCAGAGGCGGGGCTGGGTGGTGTTGGATGGCGTGGCTTCGATACAGGTATAGGTTCATTGTGGGCGGGGCAGGAGGGTACAGGTAGTGCGTGGGCAGGAACATCCTGCCGGCCTCGGCCAGCAGCTCCAAGCCGGCGGCAGACTGACGCTTCCACTTGGTCCTGCCGGGAAAAACAAAGCGCACGTTACTCACCGCAAACACACCTTACCCCAGTCTGCTGTCACGTGACTGGACCTGAACCAATCAGCACGTGTCAGCACATGTGCAGTAAAATTCCCTCCATCCGGAGCACACGTGAGTCTACATGATCGTAAAGACTGCAGCAGACATGAGGCGACCCGATTGGATCAGAACCTGCAGACAGGAAGCAGATGTTCCTCCAGCTGTGTAACAGGCTTTAACGCCCAGAACACATCAGCCTCTGCTGAAACTTCTGTCTTCCTTCAAGACAGCTGTCATCTGATTGGCTGCCCCTCACTAACAGAACAGTGGGCAGGGTATCTGCCCCCTCCATGACATCACAAAGATTGGAGCGTAGAAAAAAACTATGACAAACTGAGTGTTTGGAGCAGACTGAGGCTGCGGAGCTTTTCGCTCACAGGGTCACGGCGGCGTTCGTCCTTGAGATGATCACAGTCTGCGCTCACATCGCGGTCATGTGATCAGGTTCAAATTTCATGTCAGTAAACTTTAAAGAGTTTTTTAATAAAGAAGAAAACAAAATAATGACCAACCACGAGTCCAGGACCGGGACGACCAATAATCTGCTTGATGTTGTGGTACCAGGTGTGTGTTTACCTGCGGTTCTGGTACCAGGTCTTGACCTGCGTGTCGCTGAGCTGCAGCGAAGCCGCCAGCTCCATGCGCTCCTGGACGCTCAGATATTTCTGTTTCTGGAAGCTTCTCTCGAGCCTCGCCAGCTGCTGGTCGCTGAACGCCGTCCGTGCCTTACGAGGTTTCTTGAGGCGTGACGTCACCGAGTCGGAGCCGGCGCTCTGCACTGAGGTAGGAATGACGTCACATTAGTCCTGTAAGCTGATTGGTCGGCGACAGAAAAACCAGGTACAGCTCATTCATGATAGTCATTTATTATGATTCAGCTTCTGTTTTAAAAGCCGAGGTTCAGCAGATGAAAGTGATCAATAAAAAAGCGAACATTGATTGACAGCATTTATCAGATTGTTGCGTTGTTCTTACCCGAGGAACGACCACAGTCTGTGTCTGCGGTGTGAAACTGATCCAAGTATCAGACGTGAGGCTGCAGAGTGAACCGACCCCGGCCTGCTGTTCGTTAAACGATTCCAATCATGGTTTTATCTCCGTCACAGCTGTCAGATTAAAAGTGTTTTGAATCACGTGATCACATGTGCTCGCGTTCGCGTGCCAAGTTTAATGAAACCGCCACGATATGATTTTGAGTTTTACAAAAAAAGATGAACTGAAATGACGATAATGTGGTCAGAGAATCATTTGTACTGAGGTAAGCGTCACAGCTTTAATGACGAACCACGGTGATGACGGCCGTTAGTCACAGTCCGCAGGTTTGAGCTGCTTCAACGTTTAAAGCTAAATATGAACAAATACAATGTTTTAAGTTAAATGACTTCAGCGGTGCTTTCATGTGACCCACACCCACGGGAGCTCTGCTGTGATTAGCAGCTGAACAAAAACCCTGAAAATACACAATAATAACACAAAACAACGAAGCCGCGTTTCAAACTGTGCAGCAAAGACAAAAATATGAACCATCCGCAGGTCTGATGGCTGCGCCAGCGGCAGCTCACTGCGACCGGAGCCGGTTAAAGGTTTCAAGGTTCAGAAGCCGTGACGGAGATTCCTGCGTGATCAGTGTTTTTAATCGGTGCTGATGAAGCTGTGTTTCTCTGTATGGGTCACAAAAACGAGCAAACAAACAACAACAACTCTGGTGACATTTCCCGAGTTTCATGATTATAAAATCTGACCAATAAGCTTCAATAACCTGGATTTAACTTTTATTTTGGAAAACTGCTCAGGTCTGCTGTATCCTCTCTGATTAAACATCGTGCATGAGCTGTACCTGAGTACAAACACAGAGCAGGGATGTAAAGTAGTGCACAGCTGCTTTTTTAACTTCACGTGATTCCTGCAGGATCACCCGTGACTCCATCAGTCACGGTTTCAACTGAGTGAAAGAAAGAAGCGCAGGTCCTCTAAAATAAAAGACCCAGAGTCAGCGGGCAGGAGGCTGCTTTGTTTTCACTGATTAATGAGACTCACAGATCATCATCAACACCCCGATCACCGATTAGAAGTTATGATAAAGACTCTTTAAGATTATGAATTTCATGTCTGTCTCAAAATGAGAAAAACACGTAACGCAGAAACTATTTTCGCTTTAAAACAGTTCGACTAACAAGTAAATGAACGCTCAGATTGATTTCTCTCAATTAAAACACAAAAGGTTTGTAATAACGAGACTGTTTCTCTGTTTCACTGACTTTATTCATCTGGTTTTTATTTCTGTCCACGAGTGAAAAATATCTTTGGTTTCTTGGTCGTTGAAAGAAGAAAATAACCTTCTGATGTTTTTAATGAAAATAAAATCCGCGTGATTCTCATTTTTATTTTGATTGAAACTTTACTTTCTCCTTCTTTAAACTCTTTTCTCTGTTTTTACCTGTTTCGCTGTCTGAAGATGAGCTGCTGAGACTTTTATCCTGGAAATCTTCATCCTGTCCGGACCGGAATGGCTCGGCTTCCGGCCCGGGTTGTCCCGGTTCACAGTAGACCTGTCCCGGGTGAGAGTCCGCTAAAATGTCCCGGATTAGGAAGGAGGAGCAGGCGGAGCGCAGCTGAAGCGGTGCGGGCAGCAGCGGAGGCTCCAGCCGGGGAGCAGGCTCCCTCCACGGGGATGAAGGCGCCGAGCAGCCGCTGCTGTTCCCCGGGCTGAGCTCCGGAGGGTCTGCCCGGGGCAGGAGCGCCCCGAGCGAGAGCAGAGAGTCGATCCGGAACCCGGAGCAGCCGGAGGCGGACACCTCCATCTCCGCCCGGACTCAGGTGAGTCTGACCAAGCAGGTGTGGAGCCACAGCAGCCGGAAACGCGTTAGTTTGACTCTGACGTCATTTTCATGTAAAAAAAAAAACAGGTTTAAAATAAAGCTATCAGAGTAATCAGAGTATTGATCCGAGGGAAACTGATCAGCAGCTGATCTCAGCGCCAAGACAGTTACACTCTTCCTCCTCCCCCTCCTGTCCTCCTCTTCTTCCTACTCCTGTCCTCCTCCCCCTTCTGCCCTCCTCCACCTCCTCCTCCTGTCCTCCTCCCCCTTCTGCCCTCCTCTTCCTCCTCCACCTCCTTCTGTCCTCCTCTTCCTCCTCCTCTTCTTCCTACTCCTGTCCTCCTCCCCCTTCTGCCCTCCTCTTCCTCCTCCACCTCCTCCTGTCCTCCTCCCCCTTCTGTCCTCCTCTTCCTCCTCCTCTTCTTCCTACTCCTGTCCTCCTCCCCCTTCTGCCCTCCTCTTCCTCCTCCTCTTCTTCCTCCTCCTGTCCTCCTCCCCCTTCTGCCCTCCTCTTCCTCCTCCTCTTCTTCCCCCTTCTGCCCTCCTCTTCCTCCTCCACCTCCTCCTGTCCTCCTCCCAACAGCAGCTTGGTGCTAAACTTTCCCTCTTGGTCAGATGTGAGCTCGGCCCTGATTGGACAGACGTCTGTAAAAGAAAACAGGAAGTTGCGTCTCTGTAACGGTGTGAAGCTGGCGTCGTTTAAAAGTCCGTGAGCGCGCCATCCCTGCGTTCAGTCGTGAACCATCAGCAGCTCTGAGGGCAGCGTGGAACCAGACGTCCGTCAAGACATTTTGCTCGTCGTCCACGAGGCGTCTTCAGCTCTCCACCCCAACACGAGGCAGTCGGCAGGGGAGCCCACCGACCCTCCAACAGCAGAACAACACTGACAGTCAGCGCTATGTATGTGGACACACAACTTTTTCTGCTGTGGGTGTTCATCAGCACAGTGGATTTTAAATGACGCAGTTAAAGCGCAGACAGCTTTAATCCAGAGGGTTAAACAAAAAGACGATGTTTGGAACTAAAACATGTTTGTCACGACCTCCTTACGTCAGGCGCTCTGAAGTAATCAGACAAATGAAATGGGGGAAAATAAAATATTTGTGATTCTTGGTTGAAAACTCATTGTTGGCACTGAAAGACACGCCCATCACGCCGCCTCCCCGTGTGTTACAGATGCTGTGTGTGCTTTGTTCCTTTTCTCTTCCATCATTCTCCTAGAGGCTGATGTTGGTCCAGAGCTGTGCTGACTGCAAAGTCCCGTCTAGCCTTTCTCTTCGTGGGGTTTACGAGTGGCTTGCACCCTGCAGTGAACCCTCTGTGTGGATGTGGATTCCCTCAAACCAGAGCCGACAGTCGACACGTCCATGTGATTTATATAACTGTAGTTGGAACATGTTTCAGTAAACGGCTAAAAAGACAAAACTTGCCATTGTCCAAATATACATGGACCAAACTATACCTGTACACCTGCACCTAAAGGTCAAAGGTCACTCATTGCAGATACTGGTCTTCACATTTTGGACCAAGGAGAACTTGTTAAAAAGAGCACTAAAGGAGGACACTAAACTGAGATGGTGGCCTATGACACCACCTATCAGCAGTCCTGAGATCAGATCAGGGCTGGTGACCTCTGGTCCTTGTAGGACGGTGGGCGGGGCAGTGTCTCACAGAGGATAATGAGTCAGGACCCCCCCCCCACGAGGGGTTCAGTAGCTCTTGTTTTTAAAACGTCTTCACAGACGAACAGCTGGCTTCTTTTCCAGTACTCACTCAGATCGAGGGTTTTACCTCAGCTCTGTGAAACGACTCTGGTTTGACGATCACCAGAAACAGCTCAACATTTTATTCAAGTTATCTGGAAACAGAAAAGTATCATCAGCATTGACTTCTAAGGAGAACAGAACGGGCCCCAGCACAGAGCCCTGGGGGACTCCTCTCTCACCACATGTAGTTTGCTGTGAGAACTTTTCATCTTTTATTTGCATTTGTCTGAAAACATCCTCAGAGTGGCTCCGCCCGTTTTCCACCAGGTTCTTCATGACGGGCGGTCCTCAGAACTGAGCGCTGGGTTTGAGAGCTGGAGCGACGAGCCCCAAACGCCCGCACACGAGTCTCCTGGTCCCTGAAGGTGTCGAGAGCCGGACCGACCTGCAGAGAGCAGAGAGGGCGTCAGACGATGTTGTCATCGAGCGTGTCTGTGAACACGTCAGCCAGGTGTTGCCACGCCTACACGCAAATCCACACAGAGAAACGACAGCCGATGCAGATCATCCAAAAACCGCCGAGTCAGAGAAGAGCCAGTAAGTATGTGTGTGTGTGTGTGTGTTCACACTGTGTGTGTGTCACCTGTGCAAAGCGAGCTGGTTTGGGTGGTGTTTCTATGACCGGCAGAGATTTACTCCTCCTCAGCAGGCTGGTCCTCGTGTCAGGAATACACCCTGGTTTCGTCTGCACACACACACACACAGTGTGAACACAACACACACACACACACACACACACACAGTGTGAACACAACACACACACACCCTGTGGGCACTCGAGCCTCTCTCTCTCTCACCTTGCATTTGAGGTTGTTGGTTTGATTCTTCAGCTGATCATGGAGCCAGCGCTGAGCATACTGATGAGACAGGACATCTGACATCGGAGACGACGGCCTGATGGAGACATCGATTGGTCACTGATCATTCAATATTATCGATCAGATATCATTTGATCATCGTGAAGTGATCAATTCCACCTGTTTCTGACTCCAAACGTGATGTCAGGAACCTGATCGCGGCATCGTGGAAGCCGACCGTGCCGCAGTTTGGAGGCGGAGCTCTGGGCCCTCTGAGCCCGGTACTGACTCAGCTCTTTGGGCGTCACCATGCCAGACTTCACCGCCTCGCGGTTCAGAGACACAAAGTCTGCATGCTGAGCGGCAGATTCTTCCTGCCGCGGCTGAACGTTCCAACTGGAAAGAGCTGACAGAGCACAGGTGACGGGTAAGAGGACGCCCACGGGCCCAAAACCTTGGATCCGACAGGTGAGACGCTGGGTCGGGGTGAGATCGGCCAGCTTCAATCACACAGCGACACACAAAGTCCCACTTTGACACACCTGTCTCTGATGAGGGACTGCGGTTCAGCTGTGCATGAGTCACAGTTCAAAATAATCCTTCTTTATATCACTAAAGGCCCACTTTGTGCACAATGGACAACCTCTGGAAGCCTACAGAGGGGCAGAACCCCAGGTGGACTGTATTTAGTGGGCATGCAGCATCAGTGATTCAGCTCCTTATTTTCACCTCCAACAGAGACAGCTGTGTGTGTGTGTTTGTGTGTCTGTGTGACTGACAGATGAGAGGAGTCTTATGTTGTGTGTGTGTGTTTGACTGACAGCAGTGATTG